AATGGGGGCAGGGCAGGGGTGGGATGGGGTGGGGCCTCATGGAAGAGGTGGAGTTGGGGCAGGAGCAGAGGAGGATTGAGCACCCACTGGCGGGAGCAGAAGTCGGCCCTTGTGGTTCCACAGGTTTTCTGTGCTTTGTATGAAAAATACTTTGTTTTGTTTGTTTTAAACCTGCTGTCTATTAATTTGGTGACCCCTAGGGTTATGAGAAGGAGTAAATAACACATCCTTATTTACTTTCTCCACATAAGCCATGGTTTTATAGACCTCTATCATATCCCCTCTTAGTCGTCTCTTAAGATGCTACATACACCTACCAGGGGATTATCCCAATCTAATACAGAAACTTTCAGCCATGCCCAATGCAGAGAATGCAGAAATTTGGTCCCAAGTTTGTCTCTTCTGCCATTGCAGTAAGCAGATCTAACTGGCTTTAATACAAATGCACTGGGATGACACAGATGTTAGGTAATGCCAAGGTATGAACTAGGATTCAATATGGAGTCAGCAAGATAACACTCCACCACCAGAGGAATCCCTCTTGTGGATAGTGAGCATTTCAGACATGGCCATTTTCTAGAACCCTTTATTTAAAAAAAGAGAAAATTAATTTAGCTACATCCTTCTGGACATTGAATGAATTTCACAAATGCATCTTGGAAAAGATGTGCGTGAGTCTGGGTCTTCAAAACATTCAGATTAGAGAATTAATAAGAGATTTAGCTCTTGAAATTAGCATTGGTTCCTGTCCAAGCTTTGCTTGGATTACCTCTGTGCCTATATTGCATATACTTGGCAACTGAATGGATCATAGTAAGCAAACAAATTTAACTCAAGGGTGTTTCCCACTGTGGTATGTGACCATTCTCAGAGTGTTTTCTGCCTTCTCTCTTCCATAGACTCAACTCCCACCGCTGATGGCCAAAAAGTCAGAGATCGCTGACATTGATGGTAGATGTTATGTGGTAAACCATGGTGCTCTGATTGCATGGATTTCAACTCGTGAAAGCGTTCCCATCATTCTTACTCGGTGTATGACTTATAATTACAGACAGTTAAAACACATTGTTCGAAAATATAGTCAGCGGTTAGCAAAATTGTTCTCCTAATTGTAATTCAGTTTGTTTTTTTTCCATGTTCACAGCAATACAGACAGACTCAATATGGACAGTCACTATTATTCAGAAGGCTATAAATCAAGTGTTTAAATCAAAATTGGATGTCTTTCTAAAAACAATGCTCTAGGTCAACCACAAGATGTGGACTTGATGCACAAATTGTTGGGTGGAATTCTCTGGCCTGTGCTTTGCAGGTTGTCAGACTAAATGAGTGTAGTGGTTGCTTCTGGTTTAAAATTAGTGAAACCATTGGGTTAGATATATTACCTGTGTTTACTATCACAAGCCAGACCACTTCATTCTCCACCAGGCAGCCCTGAGCCAGCTGGCATTGCTCTGTTAATGGACAGCAATGATTACAGGGTGGCTTAGGGCCCTCAAGTCTTCTCCCAGCCCAAATGTTTGGCCCATCAAATCTTCTAAGGGTGAATGTGTTAGTGAACAAAATGGTGTCATGCCACCATACTGTGGTTGCTTTCAGGGCCTTGCTAGCTGCTGCTTCTTTCTCACACTGGATTCCTGAGAATGTCTGCATGTGAAAAAGACATGCTGCAGCATTATGGCATCTTGCAGTGTTTTGATACCACTTACATTGTATTGCCAGAATGGACAACGTCCTTTAAATTGCATTCGCTTTATTGATGTTAGTGCCAGGAATATAAAATGTACCTAGCCTCACTGCAGATGTGGTTCAGAGGTATTCTGTACTGGTTCCAGCTTGTCTGCTACACATCTTGCTGCCATATTCTTTCTGGTGTATCTTGGAGGAGGAGCCCTCTGTGTTATAAATACACATGCAGGTACAGTACTTAGGCACCACATGATCATTTGCCCATGCCACATGGGATGATTTTATTCAATGGTTGCAAATTTGGTCTCAAGGAGAGACTAGAAACATGACACAAAAAACAGAATCTGGATAACAGAAGTAGGTTGGGCCTATTTATTGTGCTGTGAACAAAACCATTGTCATAGAACAAGACCGCTCGTTAATTCTGGCCTAAATTAGATAGAAGAACCATGGGCTTTCTCCAACGGCCATTGAGTCTTCCCATTGAGATCAGAGGGCTTTGGATGGGGCTTCATTTGGGCTCAAAAGGTCTACTTGATGTAGACACTGGGGCTGGATTTTCAGAAGTGCTCCGTACCCAGCAGCACCCAATGAAAATACAGTGCACCATGTAATTTTGTTCACTAGGGCATGTGGCCTTAGAAGACTTGATAGCCCCAAATTTGGGGCTGGTAGAAGCTTTGATGGCCTCATTCCCCTCCTGGGTCAGTGCTGTTAATGAAAGGGGCGATTCCAATTGGTGCAGGACTAGGACTGGCTGGAATACAAGAATTCCATTTCCTGAAAAAATCTGAGGTTTCAGCATTTGTTTCTGTTCTGATGTGGACCAAATCCAAGACATTTCAAAAATGTTCATGAAATAACAAGAGAGAGAGTCCCAGAATCCCAGTGGTTAGAGCAGAGGTCTCAAACGTGCAATGTGGCCCACGGAGTTATTTCCTGCAGCCTGCCATAGGTGTCAACTCCACCAGCAACCAAGCTCCCCTCCTCCCCCCAAGCATGCCAAGTTACCGCTCCTCCACCTACCTCCCAGCTGTTTGGTGGTGCTTAGGACTTTCCAGGAGGGAGAGGGGAGGAGCGGTGATGCAGTGCGCTCAGGGAAGGAGGCAGAGAATAGGTGGGGCCGGGAATTTGGGGAAGGGGTTGGAATAGGGACAGGGAGGGGGCAGAGACTTTGGGAAGGGTCTCGGCAGGGGCGGGAAGAGGCAGGGCAGGGGCGGGGCCTCATGGAAGGGTTGGAGTAGGGGTGGGGCTGGAGGGTTTAACCAAAATAATTCTAAAAGTAAATGTGCGGTTTGTCATTTGAGAGAGGTGCATTGCTGAATGTTTATATTTTATTAAAACCCCTCTTTGCATTACAGTTTTTAAAAAGTTAATACATTGACTTTTAATAGCATACTATATTACTCTTCATTTTTTTCATTTTTCACTATACTTTTGTTGTACAAAAAGGTGTCAGTGATGCGGCCCTCGGGCCAATGTACTAGTCCTCATGTGGCTCTCGTGGTGATTAGAGTTTGAGATCCCTGTCTTAGAGCAACTGGAGTGTGGGAGAGCTATGTTCAAGGCCCTGGTCTGGATTAACAAGAGCAGGGACTTCTAGCTGGATCTCTAACATTCAAGCTATTCTTTTCCCTTCTCTCTCTGGTTTTACCAGAAATTCCACGCTGGACATGAGAAACCTTCCTGACAAAACTCATGTTGAAATTGATACATTTCTGCAAAAAGTTTTGGTCTGGACAGCATTTTCCCATGAAAAATCATTTAGTTAAAAAGTTCCCAACCAGCTCTAGATAGGACTCCGTGGTGGAGGGTGATATGAGATGACTTGTATCAGCAAACTCAGGTAGTATATCTGCCCTGCATTTGGTAACCTTCTTAATAATAATGATTGCCTGTAGTGGGTCTGCCTGACTGCCTTTACCATGGATGAACACAATCTGGATTAAGATTACAAGAACAATTTTGCTAACTACTGACTGTATTTGAAAACAATGGTGTTAGATGGCTGTAATTATAAGTCATGCAGGGGCATTAAAATGACTGAGATTCATTTGCAAGGTATTCTTTGAAATCCACGCCATCAGAGCACCATGGTTTATCACGTAATATTCACCATCAGTGGCAGCAACCTCCAACTGGATTGAGTCAACAGGACTAGGAGCACAGAGTATGCAGCAAGGGGTGTTAAGACTATCTCGGAATAGTCACATACCATATGTGCCTAAATAAAAGATGAACTCTTCTGAAAATCCAGTGATTGATTTAGGTACCTAATTAGGAGCTGCTGGGTCTGACCTCTTTTAAAAATCTACCTTATATATTTTAATTAACAAATGCCCCAAAATGATGAAAATTAATTATTTTGTAATCAAAATAGATGATTATTTTCTGTCTTCAATTAAAAAAAAAAAGAAAAGGTCTCTCCTGCAGTCAGTGTGTGTTGTTATCATGTCTTTTCACTCTAAAGGAAACAAGAAAGCACGTTTGTAACTGTTATTTTAGATACAGAGCCATGTTATGAAAATATCATTTCTTTCTACCTTTGCATTTAAAAATCAATGGATTTTAATCCTACTCTGCTTTTATTGGCCATGTCCCACCATGCAGGCATTTTCATTTCCTGGTAGAAATTTGTACACAATAACAAATGACTAGACCCCAACATTGTTGAATGATGTATGAGATGGCCATGCTGTCTCAGCCTTGAATCCATCCATCATTTAGCATTCAAAGTCTGGTTTGAAATAAAGGTGGACTTTTATTGTTGCAAAACAAATGTGTGGTCCAGCGCATGCCTTGAAATTAAAAATATATATATGTTCTTTTCCGAGAAATTGCTAAAAAGAGCATATGCTGCAGTTCTCAGAATTCAAGGACAGATAAACATTAAGGATTACAGATTCTCAACTGGTGTAAACTGGGGTAGGTCCATTGACTTTGACAATGCTTTTGCCTGACTTCCCTGGAATTCTGGCAATGTACACCAGCTGAATCTCAGGCCTATAGACAAACAGAGCTATGGCAATTTACGCCAGCGGAGGATCTGGCCCATTGACTTCAGTGATTCTATGGCAGTTTACACCAGCTGAGGATCTTCATCAAATTTCTTTCAGTTAATGGAAATTATTTTTTCAACCCCTCCTTTCCTGATTATTAAAGATACCGGGGACAGTGACATGTTTGACAGAGATATGCGGTGCGTTTCAGGAAGAAACGATGGATGAATTGATGGGCATGAAGCGTTTTAGTTCAAACGATTTGCAGTTGGCACAAGAAAACCACCCGCCCTCTTGTTTTGTCTCCCCTAGGTGATAAAAGCTGTGGAGGAGGGCTATCGTTTGCCAAGTCCCATGGACTGCCCGGCTGCTCTTTACCAGCTAATGCTCGACTGCTGGCAGAAAGATCGGAACAGCAGGCCCAAGTTTGACGAAATTGTCAGCATGTTGGACAAGCTCATCCGTAACCCGAGCAGCTTGAAGACACTGGTTAATGCATCGAACAGGTATAAATCCAGGCCAGTTCCATTTCTCCATGCATGATTCATGTCATAATACCCTGATATTGAAATAGCTCTCACTCTCTGATCTGTGCAGACCCTGGAGGATGTACCACAAGCTTCATCGTGTCCAGAATAGTTCTCCCAAATCATCTCTTTCTGTTTAAATTGGCAGATACATGAGCAATTCAGTCACGTTATAAATGCATCCATACTGAAATGATCATGTCCTGTCTTGGAGAAGCTTGAGTTGCAGCTATGTTGATAGCTACGCAATGGAATTACTTGTGATTTACACCCAGGGAAAGGGAGAGCAGGATTTGGCCTGCAAAGTATATAAGAAACATCACTCAAATGATCTCTCTGTTGACTTTATCCTGGTAATAATGAATAGGAAAGAAATCCTTTAGGGCAAATTCTGGGGACTAGTAAAACCAGATGCATTCCTACTCTGATATAACCTACCACAATCATTTGGAAGTCCATTAGTGTTTTCCTCCATTTCTAACAGATTTTCAAACATTAACAAATCCATGTGGTTTCCAAAAAAAAGTGCACAATTTTCTAATATATTAGTATGAAACATGATAAATGCAAGCCTACAATTAAGGCTGACATGGTCGGAAATAGAAGTATAAATATTTTGGTAAATTCCTGCCAGCCAGTCGTCTCAGATAACAACTTTACCACCATGGCAGAAGCCTGGGAATAATAACTTTTTATTATGGGTGCATAATATTTTTCCCCTGCAGCCTTATATTACTTCTTAATTATACTGCTACACTGATTTACACCAGCTGAGGATTTGGCCCTGGCTTTATAGGAGTTGAATTTTCCTCAGGGGGAGGAAATTACACAAGTATTTGTATTGACGAGACTAACTTTAGCAACAGTCTAGAAATGAGCAACATGTTGGGAATGGTTCAGTTGGCACTGGAGATCAGCTCCTAACAGTTAGACACAGAACTCGGGGAGTTAGGTTTCTAAATACGTTGTGAGGCAACATTTGTTTATTGGGGTATTGTAGTGAAGCGACGACCCACTGGTGCAGCGCCTCCTGCTGGTTGACTCAGGAATTAGCTCTTCTAGCCCATAGTGCCCTCTGCAGGCCGGTGTCTCACCTGCAGCTGGCCCCCACGTCCCTCCCGGACCCCGGTGCCCCTTTACCTTGGGGGGGCCCCCACACTCTGGGTCTTGCCACCCAGGGGGACCCCAATCCTCTATCCCCACCTTGCCTCAGTGGCTACTGCCAGTCACCATCTAGCCCCCACTCTGGGGCAGACTGCAGTCTGTAATGGCCACTCACCCTTGGCAAGGGGGTCAGACCAGCTGCCTCTGCCTATTCCCAGGCTGCCCATCTGCAGCCCCAGTACCTTTGTAGTCCTTCACCAAGGCCTGCAGGCTGGAAGTTTACCAGGCTGGAGTTCCCCAGCTACCTTGCCCTTCCCCAACACTGCTTTACTTCAGGTACCTTCCTCTCAGACAGTTATCCCTTCCCTCTCTAGGGCTAGAGTGAGACTTCTCTTGCTTCTGGCCCACAGCCCTCTTAAAAGGGCCAGTTGGGCCCTGACTGAGAAGGCCACAGCTGTGGTCAGCTACTCACTCAGCTTCCCCAGCTGTTCTCACACTTCTTCCCCCAGCCACAGCCCTCTCCAGAGCTGCTTTTACTATTGGCTCCACAGGGCAGCCCTCTCCCAGGGTTGTTTTAACCCCTTCAGGACGAGAGCGGGGTGACTACCCCGCTACCGGTACATGCCATTTTTAAATACAAAGTAGGCATGATTCTTCAGGCTACTTTCCATGCATCATTAACTTTCCGAGGAAGCCATTGAAGAATGAATCTTATTAGCAATCAGTTGTAATGTCATTCCTAGCACATCTGCATAAAAAAGGATTATGGTAGCATAAAATGTGGAACACTTCTCTTTCATTTTCAGTTTGGAATAATCATTTTGGGGCATGTTGTGTAGTGGTTCATGCACTGTCCTATCAGAGTGTACTAGAGAAAGTAAAAATTGTCAGTAAACCATTTCTTTTAGGTGCTAAGCACTTTGCTGATATGTTCATGCATTTACAGTTTCAAGCAATTCCTAATGTCTACTAATGTGAGTATTGCCAAAAAGAATGGCATATCCATAACAGAACATTACTGAATCAACCCTTAGTTAAATTCAATTCAGAATTAAAGGATGTTTTCAAACATAACATATTCTGTATTAAAAATTTCCCATTAATACAAATGCCAGAGGACACAGTGACATTACAATGTGTGCACAGCAGTAGACACCTCATGGCATTAGCACTGAGAATCCAGTTTTTTGTTCCGATTAGTAAGGAAGCCTGAATCCCTTCTGTATTTAAAAACTTATGTGAAAGCATTATGCTATTGTTACTGGCAATGTTTACATTTTATTGGACCCTTCAGTATAGCCATTAAGTAAACAAATAGTACTAATGTGATCATACAATATATGAAGATTCCTGAAGTGCTAAATAATATAATATCCTGGATGTTCTTCCAGTCAGGTATACCTGAATTATATGTACATATTCAGGGCTCAACCCTGCAAATGCTTATATCTGTGGATAGCATTCCACACAGATGTATTACTATTAGGCAGTGTGGCTTAGTGGATAGATTACTAACCTGCACTTAGAAAGCATGGGTTCCATCCCCAGCTCATCTGCATGACTTTGGGCAAGTTCCTTCACCCCTCTGTGCCTCAGTTTCCCCATCTGTAACATGGGAATAATGATACTGGCCTCCTTTGGAAAGCACTTTGAGATCTACTGTTGAAAAGTCCTGTATAAGAGCTAGGGATTATCATTTATATTGCAGTAGTACCTAGCGACCACCCAAGAACGGGACCCCACTGTGATAAGCACAGTACAAATAGTTCTGTTCACTTCAGTGGAACAAATCCCATGACCTAAGCTACTTGAATCATAGGCCAAGTTTGTTTGTTTTTTTTAAATGGGTGCCTAAAGCCAACCTCCTGAGTCCATTTAATCAATTGCTGAAATCACTGGGAGCTGCTGGGTGCTGAGCCCGTTTTGAGAATCTTATCCAAGTTTGCAGGATCAGGCATTTAAATTCTAATCACAGACCAGTGTGTTTTCCTCAGTACTGAGGAATATGATTTGTGTTTGTCTCCCTTCTCCTGACGTGCTTAGAAATAGATTTTGGCTTTCAGGCTCTGGACGCTTTGATTTAGGAGAAGGAAAACAGAGTGGTAGAAACAAAACAGGTCCTGAAGGTATGCAGTCTCTTGCAGTTTACTGCTTGGAGCGGGGGCCACATAGAAAGGCAGCCTGCTCACAAATGAGCAGCACTATGGAAGTGTGCTAAAAGCACTGTTCTGCTGAGGCCTTCTCCTTTGTGCTCTTGAAAGCAGAAGAATGGTGCAAAGAGTAATGCTGCAGTGAATAATCCACACAGATAAAGAGGCAGGTTGTGATCTGTGCAAATTCTTGCTTATCTGGTCCTTTGTGGTACTTTCATCTTTTCTTTTTGCTGGTAAAATAGTTTAAAGGCCAGGATTTTCAAAAGCTGTCAGCGTTGGCCTAACTGCTCACACCAAAGTCAATGGTCAAACTTCCATTTGTAGTAAGACCCTTTTGAAAATCCTCCCCTTGGTATTTAAAGGCCCAATTCTGCCACCCTTACTCATATTGAGCAATACTTACTCCCATGTGTAAGTAAGCAGACTAATGCAACTGATTCCATGAGTAACTACCTCTCGATGTAATTAAGGGCATGGGTATCAGGTTTATCTAGGCAAATATAATAAAAGGCTCACCTGTAATATAAACAAATTGTAAGTGAATGACTGGTGTTGGGTACACCTTCCAACTGATCTTTTTTGTTTGTTTTAGAGTGTCAAATTTATTAGTGGAGCATAGCCCCCTGGCAAGTGGCGCCTACAGATCAGTAGGTGAATGGCTGGAAGCCATCAAAATGGGACGGTACACAGAGATCTTCATGGAAAATGGATACAGTTCAATGGAGGCCGTGGCTCAGGTGACCTTGGAGTGAGTAGTTTTCTGATCATTTTCACCTGCTTTGTTGGAGTTGTGGAGAAGACACATTGATTTAAATGTAGTCGAGAGATCTGGGGGAGGGGAAAGAAGAAGGGAAGCAATTAACTGGTTTGCCCAGTCAGCAGTTGCCAAGGAAGCCTCATCTTTTATAGCCTCTGTCGATGATAACAAATGCATGAGAGGGTTGAACTTACGGTCACTGTGCTTGCTGTCAATACCTTGGCTCCTTTACTGAAATAAATTTACACTTGAGTTTGAATAACTGACAAACCATTCTCGGGCATAATAGCAACGGGATTATTATGGGTTGTTTTTTTAAAGAGAGTTCTCTTGCTGGCACAGTTTTATACAAGGAAATACAGCGGGGCCAGAATGTCCTCTCACTGACCGGGCTTTCACACTGGGGTGACTGGCTTCCGCGGAGTTACTCCTCACTTACACCTCTGCGAGTGGGGAGTCAGGCGCAGGAAGTAATGTCATCGTATGTGATTTTTTTTTACCTGGAAAAGATAAACATAAATGTAGGTACAGTTGAGATGGCTGATTTGGCAACAGTGACAAACAGAGACACATCAGTCAAATCTAGACCTGTGTAATAAATACCCACAGCTGGATTCTGAGTTCTGAATCCTGGCAGTGTAAAGAGGTCTTAAATTGGCCATAAATTACATATAAACTGTCAGAGGCCTTAGTATAAATAGGAATCAGGCCCAAAGTGTGCATGAAAACCATCCAGTCCAAAACAAAGCTGTCAGTAGGAGAATTGGGATCATTTTGATCATTAATTGTACTTCTGCATCGTATATAATGTCGCAAGGACAACTCAGATCCTACACTAGAGCCCAGCCCAAAGGTTAACTCCCGCAGGAGGTGTCAGAGTTCTGCAACTCAGAGGAAGCCATCTCCACCATGCAGAAGTAGGCCCTGGGTGAACAGGTTTGGGGACCCTTTATGTGTACATATGCATACTTCTGAAATCAGCCTGATCGGCTCAGACTGAATCCACAGCACTAAAGTCATGTAGTAAATGCCTGAGGGCTATGGCTGAACTGTGTGCTATTTTTTTTAATGGCGTGTACTGTTTGTGTAACGATGTCTATGCCTTATTCCTGCCACTTATTCAAACTGAGCATAGAGAGTGGTTTCCAGTGGGATTAAACTGAAGTCAGGTTATCACAGATGTTGAATTAGAATGTAAAGGAATATGACCCCTCCTGATCCAGGGGTGTGCGTGTACACACACACACACACACACCCCTCCTGATCCAGTACACACACACACACACTCTGCTGGCCAATATGCCGATTGCATCAATTTAAAATAAAATAAAAACCCTACTCTCCCAGAACCTTCATGTTTTTCCTGCCCTGCAGCAGGGGAGTTGTTTTGTCACAGGACCTCAGTTTTACTCAGTGGAATTCACCCCGCGGGATAGAAAATCCCCCCCCCCCCACCCCCCATGTAGGTGGGATTTTAAGCCTCCATGAGAGTTAAAATAACATTAAAGAGCAGAGGTCAAAACGTAGCAGCATCTGTCCTCTCATTCAGGCCCTACTTGTCATGTCCACAGTTGTAACATTCCTCACTTATTATCCCTGCAATCTGAAACCCCAGTCCTGCAAGCACGCTCCTCTTTAACTTTGTGCACTGTGAGGTGACATCAACATCTTATGTATTTGCTTATTTGTATTTCTGTAGCACCCTAGGGACCTCAGTCCAGGATCAGGGGCAGGGAATGGGACTAGATGACCTCCTGAGGTCCCTTCCAGCCTGACATTTCTGTGATGATTTTGTTGTGCCCAGTACTGCACAGACTGGGCACAAAGACCACAGTTCCTGCCTCAGAGAGCTCACAATCTACATGGCAGAGGGGACATGCCAAGAGCACCAGACAGAAACAGCGTGGGGGAAGGATTACTAGAGTTGAGCAGAAAAGTGGAAGCTGCTAGGATTATTCCCAGCGCTTAAAGTTAAGCACATGCCTAAGACTTCCAGGTGGGGAGGTTTCCCCACTCACTAAACCCACAATCCCGGCTCTCACTGTCCCTGCATTCCACCACTCCCCATGTTAAGTTCATCCATATTTCCTCAAAATTGTGTCATGTGAAATGGATGTAAAACCACATCCCACACTAGTTTGTATTTGCACCTAATCAGGGTTTGATTCATCAGAAATATTTGATCACTGCTAAATGATTACGTGGTTATGACCCACCCCAACGTGTATTAAAATGGGAGGGTAGGTAGTTCTCCGCCCAACGGCAATTATTTGTAAATATAAAATCAACAAAGTAAATGAAGCCGGCCTATTTTTTTTTTTTTTATGAGCAGTGAGTCCACTCTATGTCTCTGTCCTCCCCAAGTTTCTCTGTGCTGTTTCCCCATGTCTTTTTCTCTTCTCCATGCTGCATGTATGCTGCCAGCTTCTAAGTCTGGATTTTGCATCCTTAAAGCCAAAGGGAGTTTTGCCAAAGACGTCACTGAGTGCAGGATCCGCCCCTAGAGCTGATCAGAAGACATATTTCATTGTACATGAAATATGTCAAAGAAAGCGTTCTTTTAAAATTGTTTTGTGGATTTTTTTCATCCAAAGCCTGCGATGTTTTCACTCGGGTGGAAATTTCCTCACAAAAATCCCATTGTGCCAAAATGTCATTATTTTCATGGAGAAAAGTTTCAGCAGAACATTTTCACCCTGCTCCACCATTTGCCATCACAGGGTCACCACCTCCTTCATACTTTCCTCTCTACTCCTTGCTGCAGATGGTGTTTTCCTGCTTATCCGTCCTTTCTCTTTGTGATTGCTGTCTCTCCTTTGATTTGATCCCTTTTCCTCTCTTCTATTTCCTTTTACCTCTGCTCCGTTGTCCTTTTCCTCCCTTCCTCTTTCACTTCTTTCCCTCTAAGTTTGTTCCCTTCCTTTGCTTCCGTTCTTGTTCGCCACTTACCCCTTCTTCCACTTTTCCTTTCCCCTCCTTCCTGCTTCTGTTTCCTCCTTGTCTCTCTCAACCAATCTCTTGCCTCTTCCCCAGCCTTTCCCCCTCCTGGTTCAGCTCCTCCATTCCTTGCCTCTGCCCTGCTCCACTTCACTGCTGCTGCAAGCAGAGGTGCCAGGAATTAACAAGATCGATGGAGCGCTGTTGCTTCAATGGATCTCACAGACACCCTGTTAAATTCATTAGCTGTTCTTCCAGTGCGTGTAGCATAGCAGTGCGGGGCACAGAAGTAGAGGTTAGAAGACTGTGCCAGGGCATCAGACAGATGCAAACCAGCCCTGTCCGACCCCTGAGTAAAGAGCATCTGATGCTTCATGGATAACTCTGGAAAATGTTCCATTGTGGGCCGCAGCCTTTATCTCCTATATTCCTGTGTTCACCTCTCTTCTCATTCCTGAAAATGTTTATGTGAAAACAGGCCCTGTGGGTGAAATTCTCTTCTGCACCAGGATTGGCATGGAAGCTGGGGGAAACAATTGTGGCTCCTTGATACACTGACCTGATCTGCCCTGGGAAGTCCCTCACTGAGTTTATAGCAATCTGGGAAATGCTCTAAACTCTGCCTGCTGGTAACAGTCTCCTGGGCCCCCGTACCAACGCTGTGTTGGGATGGGACAGTGGCAGGGTATGTTGTCCTTTTGCTAGCACTGTAACAAGGGGTTACTGCTCGGCTGGCAAATCCAGCTGCCTTGAAACCCCTTCCCAGCCCCAGAGCAGTGCAAAGGGGCTGGAACCCCTGAGAGTATCGTGGACTTTTTAATTCTGTTTTCCTGGGTTTGACTTTTTAACCTGAAAGGAAAGATCCACGTTATAGTCTGAAGTCGTGTTTTTGTAAATATCAACTATTTGGCCATTCTTCCAAAATGTAGTGATATATTTCAAACTATATCCACGCTGCTCCTCCGTATATTCTTTAAAGGCCCAGTGGTACAGCCCTTAAACCAGAGGTTTTCAACCCTCTGACCCGTCAGGGTGTCACAAGGTTATTACATGGGAGGGTCGTGAGTTGTCAGCCTCTACCCCAAACACCACTTCACCTCCAGTATTTATAATAGTGTTAAATATTTTTTAAGTGTTTTTAATTTATAAGAGGGGGTCGCACTCAGAGACTTGCTATGGGAAAGGGGTCATCAGTACAAAAGTGTGAGAACCACTGCCTTAAACAAAACACGAAGCCCTTTCTCATGCATGTAATTCCAATGAAGTCAATGAGACTATGTGCCTGATCGATTGCTAACCAATGTGAACAAGGCTTACACAACTGAGCCCTAAGAAATATCCATATGATGTACTCTTCATTAAAATCAAAATGGGGAGTGTTCTTTAAAATCGAGTGGCATACTATTACTATGCTATAGTGTAGTATAGGCTATATATTTCCATGAATCACATCATCAGTTGGTATAAATCGGTAAAGGTCTGACTTCAGTTTATGCCTGCTGAGGATCTGGCCCTATCAATGTATTTTTGTGAGCAAATAAAATGCAGGGAATTTCCCACAGGTCAGGCTGGGTTCTGAGACAGCTTCTGCCGTTGTACAATCTCACTTTACAGTTTGAACACAAGCTACCTGGATTTGGTCAGATAATCCGCACTCAAGTCAAGAGTGTTCTTGAGAAAATTAGAACAGGCTAATCGGAAACAAAAACAAAGCAAAACTCTGTGATATTCTTTATATATGTTAAAAACACAAATGGCCAGATCCTCAGCTGATGTAAATTACCAAATCTCCATTGACTTCAGTAGTCCAAAATGAAAATTATCAAAGACCGAGGCTAGATCCTCGGCTGGTGTAAACCAGCATTACTTCTTTGAAGTCAACAAAGCTAGGCTGAATGACACCAGCTGAGGATCTGAGTCACTGTTTCTCAAATAAGGAAAGAAATGTTTTTCTGGCTACTAATGTGGATCCATCCTATAATTCTATAGCTTCTTTAATTGCTATTAGGAAAAAATTAACTTGGGAACACAGCATTCTTTACTGGTTAAAAAGG